TAAAGGAGGGCACAAAATTGGTATCGTTGGAAGGACTGGCAGTGGGAAGTCTACACTGATCGGTTCTTTGTTTCGTCTGGTGGAGCCTGCAGGGGGCAAGATTGTCATAGATGAGATTGATATTTCTACCCTCGGACTTCATGATTTGAGGTCCCGGTTTGGGATTATACCTTAGGATCCTTCTCTTTTTAATGGGACTGTGAGATATAATTTGGATCCATTGGGTCAGCATACTGATCAGGAAATATGAGAGTAATACATCAATCCCTCTTGTTTATTCAAATTAGTTTTTCAATTTGCTTAAATATGTGATTGTTTTTACTGTTTTAACAGGTTCTTGGAAAATGCCAACTTGGAGAGGTTGTTCAGGAGAAAGAAGCGGGCTTGGACTCGATGGGTAAGAAGCCAAAGATTTTTACTCTCCATTTACCAGGAATGATTGCCTTGTTTTCTGTTTCTCATTTTGTGCTTTTGTTTTTAAATTTTTTGGTAACAAAAAAAAAAAGAAAAAAAGAGGGTGTTTTCTTTTGTTTTTAGGACCGATTCACTCCTTCCTCCCTCTCCCACCACCTTTGGCCACTCTATCCACGGTCGACCACCAAATAAATAATTATATGGGTCCCACTTGGGTGGACCAATCCCTTTTTTTTTTGGGTGAATAGGCGGACCAATCCCAAAACTTTTGTCCCACCAGCAGATCATGGAGGGTCAGGTCAGCTCTGCCCATGTCATGACTATCGATTTTATTAGTTTGAGTGCATTATGTCACTATGCTGAGTTCGTTACACATTTCCTAGTAAACTATGAAGCACAAATACTTCAAAAAAGGTGTCGTACGAGTATCAGATACGTATTGGATACAAATACGCGTTTGATACGGTGGGATACATATTGAATATGACAAATAAGTATCCGATTTTAAATTTTTTTTTTTTTTTAAATTTTGGATACAATAAGGATATGGCAGGATATGTGAGGGATACACCAAATAAGTATTTAATTTTTTTTTTTATATTTTAATATGCCAAATAAGTAGGATGATGACCTCATTTTTATACCCCTTTCTCATTTCAGTTGTGCAGGATGGTTCAAATTCGAGCATGGGACAAAGGCAATTGTTTTGTTTGGGCCATGCCCTCTTGAGGAGAAGCAAGATATTGGTGCTTGATGAAGTGACTGCCTCAATTGACAACGCAACAAACTTAATTTTGCAGAGAAACATTAGGATCGAATTTGCTGATTGCACTGTGATTACAGTAGCCCATAGAATACCAACCGTCATGGATAGCACCATGGTTCTGGCCATCAACGATGGTTATTTAGTAAATTTTGTTCCTTTCTTCCTCACCCAATAATGGTTCTTGCAAATTCTGAAGCAAAGTGCTTTGATTAATTTTTTCCAGGAAAATTGGTAGAGTATGACGAGCCATTAAAGCTGATGAAGCGAGAAAATTCACTGTTTGGGCAACTTGTGAAGGAATACTGGTCTTATTATCAGTCTGCAGAGTCACATTGAAGCTTATAGTAATGTCATATGTTTCATAATGGGGATTTTGCAACCCCATAGAAATGGAGAAGATTAGAGACTGGAAATACCTAATCCATGCTATGTATCGCCCCGTGCCCATTTTTCAAAAGGCAATAATGATCGAGAGTGCTTTTATTAAAATATCTTGAGAGCAAGAACTTTTACAACTATAAATTTAAGAAGGATGAGGTGCACACACTATGCATGTGTAATTATATATAAATTTATGGGTTGATTTTGAAAATTAATTAGAAGTTATTGTGAATAAGTGTCAAAACAACATTATTGCTAGTTTAATTTTCTTAACTCTATTCTAAGGGCATCTATTAACATGTTTGAAATGGTTGTACATTATTTATAAAGCATGCATTGTAAAAAATCTTTAATCATTGTAAATTTTGTTCACGAATGTTCTTTAGCCTTGCACCATTGATTTCATGTTTGTCACACGGCCTTCTTCGTGTATCAACCACGCCACGATTATTTGTTTTGATGTATTGCTCGTGGTCATGTTCTTATTCAATGTCATTCTAAAGAAACCATCAAAGCACTTTCGTGGCGTTATGCGTTTGCAAATTATATCTATCATTTTCAATGGAGTTTTGGGATTGGTATACCTGATTTTGGGTATTTGGATGTTAGTTGATAAATTAAGGTTGTCCGGGTCTGTTTTACCTCTCCATTGGTGGTTGCTAGTTTTGTTTCAAGGACTAACATGGTTGCCAATGGGCTTAATGATTAGCCTTAGAGGAAAACATTTCCCAAAAGCATCATTGTGGGTTTTGACAATTCTTGCCTTCTTGTTTACTACAATTGCTTGTTGTTTATCCCTTGTCACCGCCATTTTTATCAAATAAGTGTCAATTAAGGTAGCTTTGAATGTACTGTCCCCTTTTTAGGGGCAAGTTTATTGTTGCTACACACTTACAAGGGTTACAAATATGAAGAAATTGATGAAAATCTATGTACCTCCTTGAATAGTGAGGTCAATGGAAGTAGTAAAACTGAGTCTGTTGTCACCATTACTTCATTTGTGAAAGCTAGGTTTTTCAATAAAATGGCCTTTTGGTGGCTAAACCCACTGATGAAAATAGGGAGGGAGAAAACACTTGAGGATGAAGATATACCCAAATTGCGCGAGGAAGATCAAGCACAAGCATGTTACTCACTATTCATAGAGAAATTCAATGAGAAAAAATAACTCGACCCATCATCCCAACCATCGGTTTTGTGGACAATAGTTTCATGCAATTGGAAGGAGATTTTGATGTCGGGATTGTTCACGCTGCTAACAGTCGTTACTCTATCTACTGGTCCATTTATTCTCAACACGTTCATTGAGGTTGCTGAGGGCAAAGAAAGTTTTAAAAATGAGGGATATGTGTTGGCCATCTTACTTTCCTTTTCAAAGAGCGTTGAGTCCTTAGCACAAAGGCAATGGTATTTCCGAAGCAAACTTGTCGGTCTAAAGTGAGGTCTTTGCTAACAGCAGCCATTTATAAGAAGCAATTAAGACTATCCAATGCTGCGAAAATGATGCACTCGGCCGGTGAGATAATGAACTCTATTTCCACTTATGCTTATCAGATTGGAGAGTTTCCTTTTTGGTTTCATCAAACTTGGACAATGAGCCTCCAGCTATGTCTAGCCGTAATAATCCTATTCCGTGCAGTGGGCTCGCAACAATCGCATCCTTGGTGGTGATAATTCTTGCTGTGCTTTCATCTCACCTCAGCTTATTAACCAATTTGTTACTAATTTTTCATTTTAATTATACCCTGCAGACCCTGTCTCTCTCTCACTCACCTCTCTGTTGTACTTCTATTATTTTTCACTTGTATGCTCTTTCTCATTACTCAACCGCAGATCTCGTTGCAGCTCTTCGTTGTTGATAGATTCACCAAGGATTTGCCAAATTTCATTGCAGGTAGTTTGTTTATGTGTGCGACTTGAGCTAATCAGAGTGTTAATCATGATATAGAAATCATTTATTGAAATAATATTAATTGAAGACTTCCTTGTTTGGCATTGTTGGTTTAAGTTTCAAGTTGGTTTATAGTATTAATCCAAGACTTTTATACATGTATTTTGTGAATTATGTAGTTTATATTCTTCATTAAGGATAGTATAGTCCCTTAGGTTGTTAGGGTTTGATTATGGTTTAACTCTATTAGATTATATATTTGTACTTGTTTTTCTGATTAGCACAGCGAATAGACATCTCAAGTTCATACTGTTTTGCAAAGTTAGACTCAAGGTACATACTTTTCAAATAGTCCCAAACTTGTTTAGAAGTAGAATACTTTGAAAAATTCACACCAATGGTAGTTTGAATTGAATTATAAAACCAAGTAAGAATTTGTGCATTTTCCTTATCCCATTTAGCAACATTAGCCTCAATTTCTTGAGATTCTATAGGTCTAATAGTCACACCAATCACATAGTTCCACATGCATTTACCCATTATAAAATTTTTCATTACATGAGACCAATAAGAGTAATTGGTACCATCTAACTTAGTGGTGATAGCTTATAATTTATCATCATCCATAATACTATAATTAAGCAACACAGTAAAACCGAAGCACAGTGACTAATCAAAGTTGCTACTGCTATAATTACCCAACCAATTGGGTCAAACTTATAATAACCTTTATCACCACAAATATCAATCAAGAGAACCAAGGCAGAGTAGAGAGTGTGAGACTGATCCTAAAATCAAAAGTCAATTTCAGAGACAGACAGAAAGGCTAATTTCAGACCTTGCTTTGATCGTGTGAACTAGAGGAAGAGAGAGAGAGAAAGGTCACCAATCCAAGCCACGCAGAGGAATTATAGAGGGCTGCGATGAGGGGCATCGATCGAACCAGATGAGGGGCTGGGATGGTCGATGATGACCTAGGGTTCCGACGCAATCGGATGAATACGTAACCTAGGGCTCAAAACCAGTAACCAACAAAAGCCAAGTGCAACGAAAAGAATAAAGACCACAGAGAACTTCAGTGAAGGCCTTGCAAAGAGAAAGAAAGGGGCTGCGATGGTCGATGATGACTTGCGAAGGTATGCTAACATCTGAGTCGTGGCTCTGATACCATGATAACAAACTTGTCTATATTATTGTTGTATGATCAATCAAAACAAGTACAAATATACAATCTAATAGAGTTAAACCCTAATCAAACCCTAACAACCTAAAGGACTATACTATCCTTAATGAAGAATATAAACTACATAATTCAATCTTGCTGAAGAAGTGTATATGTGCCCTCCACCAGGTCTCTCTCACCCTCCTAATGTTGTTTGTCGTCTTCGCCGTGCTCTATATGGTCTCAAGCAGTCTCCTCATGCTTGGTATGCGTGATTTCACTCTATTGCACTTCAACTTGGTTTTCACCCTAGTCATCATGATTGTGCTCTCTTTGTTCGGCGTACTTCTGTTGGCCTTGTTCTTCTTCTCTTATATGTGGATGATATGATCATCACTGGCTCTGATTATAGTACTATTGAGGAGGTTAAGCATCAGTTGTTTCAGGAGTTCGAGATGAAGGATTTAGGATCTTTTCGATATTTTCTTGGCATTAAGGTTGCTACTTCTCTTACTGGGTATCTTCTCTCTCAGACTAAGTATGCCCATGATATTCTTTCTCGTGCCAATCTCACTGATGACAAAATTGTCGACACTCCTCTTGAGTTGCATGCTAAGTTTTCTGCTTCTGATGGTGTTCCTCTTGAGGATCTCACTTTGTACCGCGAGTTGGTTGGGTGCCTTGTTTATCTCACTGTTACTCATCTGGATATCTCCTATGCTGTGCACATTCTCAGTCAGTTTGTTTCTGCTCCTCGTTCCACACACTGGGTTGCCTTACTCCGTACTCTGCGCTACCTTCGTGGCACTTTGCTACAATGTTTGCTTTTATTTGCCTCTTCGGACTTGACTTTTCATGCCTATGCTGACGCTGATTGGGCAGGTGACATCTCTGATCGCAAATCTACTTCTAGTCTTTGTGTTTTCCTCGGCGATTCTCTCATATCTTGGAAGAGTAAGAAACAGTCTGTTGTTGCTCGTTCCACAGCTGAGGCTGAGTATCATGCCATGACTCATGCTACTTCCAAGATCGTTTGGCTTCGGTGGCTTCTTTCTGATATGGGTGTCTCTCTTTCTGATCCGACTCTGTTGTATTGTGATAATCAGAGTGCTGTCCAAATTACCCATAATTCAGTCTTCCATGAGCGAACCAAGCATGTTGAAATAGATTGTCACTCTGTCAGACAGTATTTTCAAGCTGGCACTATTACTCTCCCTTTTCTTCCCTCCTCTCTTCAGTTGGCCGAATTTTTTATGAAGACTCATACTGTTGCTCGTTTTCGTTTTCTTCTTGGAAAACTTTCGATGCTTTCTGCGCTCGCATCCTCAGTTTGAGAGGGGGTGTGAATTATGTAGTTTATATTCTTCATTAAGCATAGTATAGTCCTTTAGGTTGTTAGGGTTTAACTCTATTAGATTATATATTTGTAGTTGTTTTGATTGATCATTCAACAATAATATAGACAAGTTTGTTATCATATTTAAGCTTGTGAGTTTGGGAATAATTAAAAACTTATAGCCTGTGTAGCTATAGATTTTAGCTTAAATTGCTTAGTATTTGTATATCCTAAAATAACTATTTCACTGGAATAGCCCTGAGATTTGTTTGAAATAACAATTGCCCCTTGTAGTTTTGGAAATTATATCCCGCCTTGTGAAGTTTATAATTTCATAACAAACGGCCTCTTTTATCAATAAATCAACAAGTCAATTAACAGTTTTTAATGATATCAGAAATATATTTCAATTTTATAATTCAACTAATTTTATTATTGTATATGAGAACAATTAAAATTTTCATTTTGTCAATTAATTTTGCTAAATAAAAAATTCTTACAACGGGGTATCTGTAATTTTCCAAATTACAAATTATAAGGGGCAATCTGTATTTTAAGTAAGCCTCGGGGGGTATATTTCTAATTCACCCTATTACTAGGCAATACTGATTGGTTCTTAGTTGGAAGAATATTAGACATGTATATAATGCATAATATATATGACATTTATTTTATTTACTTACTCTTCTAGTCTCTACTGCAAAACTGTCCTAGCATAAATATTGTCAAAACTAAGTTTAGCAACAAAATGGAAGTGGATTTTATTGAAAAATTTAGAATAAGGTAAATCATCAAAGACTGTTGGGATTGGAAGGAACATTGAGTTCCATCATTTTGATTGATGATTAAGTTGAAATTTACAAAGAGCAAATTGTTGTATGATAATTCTTTTATTAATTTGTTGTTAATGTGAATAGATAATGGTTTTATCTTTTATGTAGTAAACTAGCATTAGTTTATTTTCCATTCTTGAATTGGAATCTCATAGCTTATATCAATTGGTAAAAAAAATATTATGCATGTCTTGTTTCGCAGAGATGAAGTGCAAGTTCTGTCCCTGAGTGCACAGTTAGAGGGAAAGGTGAAAATTGATGAGATCAACAAGAAAAATTCTTGCATTTTCAATTCAGGATGTGCTAAATACACCCAAAAAAATTCTCTCCACATCCATCAATTCGGGATGGTTGTTTGGGCTAGTAAGAGTGTCACCGTAGAGGTTGGTGGTAGTGGTGGCTTTCAAGTGGGAAGTGTTGGAACCACTGATAGTTTTGATAATCTTGGGGTAGACTGGATATTGTGTGGAACGGTTTATACTTGTTTGATTGAAGCGATTACGTGGCATTAAATTACTAGTTATTGTAAGTTTGGTGTAGTTTATATTCTGACATTCCTGAACATTTCCTTTAATAAAAAGATTAGCATCATCAGCAACGAAAATATGGGAGAAGAGTGGGTAAGATCTCTTAATTTTGAACAAGAAATTGTGTTGTTGAAAACAATTTAGAAGGCACATTGGCAACAAGCAGAAAAAAGTATGGGGACAAAGAGTCTCCTTGACGAAGACCTCTGGAGGGAAGTAAAGAAGCTTACTTTTCTCAATTAGCAAACACCAAGTAGGAAACTGTTGAGACACTCTACGTAACCCATTGCACCAGAGCTTCTTCTTTGTTCTTGGGGCCAGAGCTTTGAAGCAATTGGAAAAGAAACCTGAATTTGCACATTGATGTCTTCATTCAAATTGAACCAAACTCCACTGCTATCATTCACCCTGATTAAATGATTCTGTTGGCATGTCTAGGTTACAACTGCATGAAAGAAAGGTCATACTTGAGCCATCAGAGCCGAGAGCATTGATGAAAAAACATTTCTTGCCTTTTCATAAGAGTCTCCTTTCAAATTTCAGCATCTCTTGGGCTTGAAGGTTAGATTCCATAGAGGGTTGAAGCTGAATATCAACGAACTGAGATTTTATATTAGCAACTTTAATCTTGTTATTTCCAAAAGTCATCTCAATTCCACATTTACGGCTGCTCTGACACCTTTTGAGCTTTTGAGAAATCTTAAATATAAGGAAACTAGCTTGAATGGCTTGCCACTTGGATTGAACAACATCTCTGCATTCAGAATTAGTTGACTAAATACTTTCAAATTTAAATAGTCTAGTCAAGAGACTTTTTTCAGGGGAATACTTATGTTGAATAGAACTTAGACTTTGGAAAAAAGTTCATATTTTTATATTTTATCTATTATGTAAAATAAAATAGTATTATATGTAATATACATTGACAAAAAGGTATTTTACTCATTTTATAACAATTTTATGACACGCATATATATATATATATATATATATATATAATAGTGTTATCTATAAATATATAAGGAGTGTCCAATGAGAAGTTTCATAACCATATCCCACATTTTTATCCAAGTGTCGAGTGTTTGACATGGGTATTTAATTTATTTTGAGAGGTCCATGTAACGTAACATGGGGGTATACTACAGAACAATAGAAGGGGACAGTCATTAGAGCCACGACATACCTCATGATATACCTAGCATATGGGAAAAAAATTTGTCTCCACCCAACTATAGCAAAAGCACGATCTAGTTATTCCCGAATATTATCTTTCTCATTATTTTATTTTATTTTATTTTATATTTTACCATGTATATAAGGGCCCTTGAACAAGTCCATAAAAGCACAATGCAAGTAAGAGCTTTTGAAAATGTTCAGTCTGTCCTTGCATTTCCTGCACCGAGCCATCTTCATTGAGATCACCCAAACATAGCGAAGGGTGTTGATTCTCAGCCGCAAAACCTCTAAGATAGTCCCAGAACTTCATAGTTTGGTTCAAAGCATATTTTTGTTAGGCAAGGTTCATGATTTCCTTCTTGTGTAACCCTTTGTTTTAAATAGATATTATTTCCTCCTTTATGCCCTTCTAATAAACAGTTTCCTTGTTTTTTAAGTAATACAGTTGCAGGAGGGAAACCGTAGCTAGGATTTAATGAGTGGTGCATCAGTCTCTGGTGGCATACGAACGGCTTTCTCCTACTATGTATAGCAAATACGAAATTATGACTACCATCATTATCTCTGCTTTCTTGAACTTCTCCCAAACATGCAGAAGGCTGCATTTGCTCTCCGTGCTTTCAATGTTGAAACAGCAAGAGCCATGGATATTGTTTCCAATCCCAAAATCGGCCTTATGTGCCTCCTCTGGTGGCAAAAAGCTATAGACAAGATATTTGCCAACAAATTAATTGAGCACCCAATAGCTCAAGCCCTGTCATCAGTAATATATGAGCATAAAATCAACAAGGGCTGGCTGACGTGATCCATTGAAGCTCGAATGAATGATGCAAAAAGAGAGGTTATTGAAATCCCAGAAACTATTGAAGAGTTGGAGCAGTACGCTGAGGACACTGTTTCAACTATCTTGTACATGATTCTTCAAACAGGTGGTATCAAGTCCACTGCTGCAGATCATGCAGCTTCACATATTGGCAAGGCTAGTGGCCTTCTTTTGCTGCTTAAGTCGTTGCCGTACCATGCCAGCCACAACCGTCAGTTTTCTTACATACCTGCTAAAGTGGCAGCCAAACACGGGTTGTTGGTTAACCAGGGAGACCAAATGGAGATTTGCGTGGACTCTCGCGAGCGTTTGTGTGATGCTATTTTTGAGATGGCATCTGTAGCTAATTCGCATCTCCAGAAAGCTCATGAATTAGTTGGAACAGTGCCTGAGGAAGCTCGTCCAGTACTTTTGCCGGCTGTGCCTACCTAGGTTCTTTTGGATTCTCTGAGACGTGCACATTTTGATGTGTTCGATTGAAGATTGGCACGAGGGATTCTGGGTATTCCTCCTTTGTGGTACCAGTTGAAACTAAAGTGGAAAGTACTGCAAGTTTGTTATGTTTTTTTTCCAATTGGTTGGCAGAGTTCAATAGAAATTTTAAATTGTTAAAAATGTTATGAAAAGTAGAGAGACTGTATATTGGATTGAATGAATAATACAATAGGAGAAGTCTATATATATAAGTAGAAAGGAAACCTAGATAGGTATAGAAAAGGATAGAGATAATACTAGAAGGAGATAGAGATAGAGAAAGATACAATACAAATAGATAAGATTCATCTATAATAATATACAGCTAACACCCCCCCTCAAGTTCCAGGTGGTAAGTCAGATATCAACTTGAGCTTGGAGAGGAGATTAGAGAAGTGGCATGGAAGATGAGCTTTGGTAAAGAGGTCGGCAGTCTAATCAGCAGAAGTAACAAAGAGAAGACGAACATGGCCACTAGTAACATGCTGTCGTATGAAGTGGTAATCAATCTCTATATGCTTGGTGCGATCATGGAAGACATTGTTATAGGAATTTGAATAGCACTTTGATTCTCACAATAAAGATTGGTGGCAGCGGAATGAGAAACACCCATGTCAGAAAGAAGCCAGCGAAGCCACACAAGCTCCTGAGTAGTGTCAGCAAGAGCACGATACTCAACCTCGGTACTAGAACGAGCAACAAGGGTTTGCTTCTTGCTACGCCAGGAAATGAGAGAGTTGCCCAAGAAGAAGCAGAACCTAGTAGTGGAACGACAATCAGTAGAATCCCTTGCCCAATTGGCATCAGAAAAGGCATATAGCTATAGAGAAGAGTAAGGGGAGTAGTGAAGACCTTGACATAAAGTTCCTTTGAGATAGCGCAAAATGCGAACCAGAGCAGCATAGTGTGGAGAGCGAAGAGCAGTCATAAATTGACTAACAATGTGAACAGCATAAGCAACATCTGGACGAGTTACTGTGAGATAGACAAGACCATCAACTAGCTGACGATATAAAGTGGCATCTGACAATAGGGGGCCATCAAGAGGTGTAAACGAGTCTGAGGATCAACTGGAGTAGTGACAGTCTTGCAATCGGTAAGGCTAGCACGAGCCAAGAGATTAGAAAGAAAATAACCAGAGGAATCTTGAGAAATTTCCAAGCTA